AGTTGGTGAAAATGCAGTTTCTGTGGGCTAGAGGTTGAACTCAGAAAAGGATACTTGGAACCTGTGCACTCTGATAAGAACATGAATATGTCTCTTGGACCCATTCCTTCCTTCAGTCACTGAGGAGAGCTGGTATGATCTGTGCCTGGAGAGCCACTGGAGAATTTGGGGGTTAGCTCTGTCTAGAGAAGGATTCATCTCTGGCTCTCTGCCACAGGCTTCAGCCAACAGAAATAGTCCATGGATTAGAGCTCCTTATCACTGATACTCCGTGTCGGACCAATATGCCCATGGAAAATCAATCCCCTTTTCTAGGAACACTAAATTACCAAAGCCCGAGGACCTTCTCACTGGTTTTGAGTACAACTAAGGAATGTCCTGCTGACAGTGGTTACTGTGCCATGGACAGGTAACAGCCTCGGCAGGTTTCCTGCAGGAAGGCCACGTGGTGTGTCAGGGTTTGCAGTGCTGCAGATCCAGGGTGGCTTTCCAGCCCCAAGCACCCAGGACGTGGGTGCACTGAGAGAGGCACCACTCAGAGTTACCAATTAAAACAGGTCAGCACAGAGGGAAGTCACGCTTCCCAAATATTGGTGTCCCTCTTGTTTTGGTTGCTTTTTTCCCCACCATAGCTGCTGGGAGGGGAAAGAACAGATTTCTTTCTTTAACAAAAAGCTTAATTATTTCCTTTTTTCTAGATGTTGTCGCAAAAGTGTAAGTTCCTGTTAAGTGCTGAATTTTACAATGTAATAAATTGATATAGTGGCATGTAAACAAGCTGTGTAAATATATGTGCAGAGCCATGCCTTTTACAGGGCAAAGAAGAACTTGCACAGAAGTGGTTTTCTGCAGAAATAATAATTTGCACAGTGTTACCCATTAGTACAATAAATGATATTGCAAGGTCTGAATTTACTGACAGCAGGTTTTGTATTTTGAGTACTATGTTTTGCTCAAATTAAAATCCCAAAAATATTTACTGGCCTTAGTAGTTACAAAAATCCAGTTATTAGGCAGAAAGAGCTGCTAACATCATACTAATCTGAGAAGAAATCCCAGTGTATCTTTTTACCCAGTCCTTGAGAAAGGAAATTGTTGAATTGATAATTGCCACTCACAGCCCTGGTCCAGCTCAGCTCTGGTTTTTCCAGGTGGAATGGTGGTGTGGAGCACTTGTTTAAGGAGTCAGAAAGGTTGGGGGGAAAGTACAATTGCAGCAGAAATGGCACTAATATAAATTTCTATCTATTAGACCTGTCAGTATTTGCTGCTTCAGTGGAAGTAATTTTTGGGCTGGGCTCTGTCTCCCTGACATGGACAGGTCTGATGCTGACAGGAATTTGTTTGGGGTGTGCTCCCCACTGTGTGCAGCAGTGTTTCACCTGCAGCCTGTGCAAAAGCAGGTGAGAGGGAGCTCAGAGAGGCAGACCCCCCCTCCATTTACAGACTGATTTCAGCTAGGCACGGATTAGTTGCTGTCAGGGATGCTGTAAATCCTCCTTACTCAGAAGGGGGAAATCCCCGTGGGAGCAGGAGAAACTCCACCTGATGTTGAGGTGACTGAGGGGTGGCAGTGCTGGAGCTGTGGCAGTGCCACCCGTGTCAGGGTGGCAGCTGGGGCAGGAGCAGGGCACAGACCCATCAGGAACACCAGCTCAGCTACTGCCAGCAGCTCGTCATGCAGCCTGCAGAAGAACCAGGGTAAAAGACGTGGCAAGTAGAGAAAAGAGAAAGAAGTCTTCCTTCCAAACTCTGGGCTTACCTCTTCCCACTGATGTTATGACCCTTCCCAATGGTAATTTATGTCCAATTGCATTTTAAAACCAGTGACAGATTGATGTAATTAGCTCTGGCTTGCTGAGGTTAGAAACAAAAAAAAAAAAAAACCATAAATCACCTACTTTCAATTAAAATCCCTCCTTGCAAGCATTATTAAGTCCCTGAAGACCATAAGCATACACACACACAAGTTCTTTCAGTCACCTGGGCGTCTTTGCCATCATCACACCTAAGTAGGAAGCCTGGTTCTTGGTTTGATTTGTGTCTTTTTCTCCTTTTCCTTCAGATGAATATTGTCCTTACAGGTGCCTAAGCTTCCTTCCAACAGACAAAAAAGAGCAAACACTTATAGGAAAGCAGCCTAATTATGTGGAGATTTTAAACAGCCAGGAGGAAAAGGTAGCTTGAAAACCAAAATATCTTGGAGGCCCCTTCTGCATCCATAGTATATTTGATAAATTGACTTTTGCTTCCAGGGCACACATTCAACTTCTTCATTAGTATAATGATCCTTGGTCTTCTCTTCCCAAACTTAGATAATTTGAATAAAAAAATATGTTTTATGAAATGTAACCATTAATAGAGTCAATACATTTAAAGCTGTGATTACATATGACTTGCAGCCATACCATCCCTCTCTGCTGTAGATCAGAATATATTCAGCATTCTTAAAATACATTGTCCAATTTCTGTGCTGGTGAGTACCAAGGTGACCTGAAAGTTTTCCTAGTACATAATCCTCTCTTATATTCTGTATTATGTATGAACTCAGAGACAGAATATCTGCATTATCTTAAATAAACTAGGTAAAATGTATTTCAAAAAGCTTCTTGAGTCAAAAAGTAGCAAATCATTGTATGTATTTCCATATTTGTATAGTTTCATTATATTCTTCTTCTAAGTTACTTTTAAGTCTCTTTCATATTTAAAAAATGAACTACACACCTATCATGCAAAATGTAAAGAAGTATGTTCAACTAGTTCAAATTAGATATACAGTAAAAATACACTTCCAAAGAAATATCATTTCCATTTTTGTTCATGTTTTTAACAGAATTTCAGACTAATACATCAAATGTGGAACTGTACAAGAATGTGAAGAAACATTAGGATTGCAGTAGTAAAAAAATGTACAGCATTCAAAACCAACAAGCTCTAAACAACCAAACAATACCACAGGATTGAAACAGTCATGGGAACAACATAGGTCATTGGAGCCAGAGTGAATCCTAATGCACCTACATAAAGACCCTACATAGAATATTGTCTCTTATTTATATGCAAAATCCCTGATTTGATTAAACCAGACAATTTCTCTAATTGTCTCGTATAGGTTTCAGATAAGATTAACATGAGAGTATTCCCCTTCATGAAGGTCAGATGTTTGAAAAGGCAATATTGGGAATTGATTTGAAAGGTATTTCCATCCACATGGATTCAGGTAGTTAAGATACAAGATCACAAATAATAGCAGTACAATTTTAAAGAACCATTGGAATTGTTCTCTGCTACATTTGCTGTAACGCTTCAGATTTCAGGATTCAGAATCTTTAAACTGTTCACAGGTAAATACACAGGGTTTTAATTATGGGCTGTAACCATTTAACAGTGGACCAAAATTGCCTTTTAAATCAAGAAAAGATCCAGCTTACCATGTAAAAAAAAAAGAAATCTCCAAGGTGATTGACAATGAACAAAATGTTACAAACAGCAGATTCTCTGTGTCAGAACAGCTTTGAAAGGCAGATATGTACCTGTTACAGTCCACCAACCAGCACAACATCCTTATCAGACATTTGGATTACGAGGAAAAATGTCCTGGATAAACCTGTAACATTTATAAATTCAACACAAATCATCTTTTTAATGTCTCATCACTGTGCATAAACTCAACAGACCCTGCCACCCGTGGGTTTGGTGACCAGACCCCAATCCCTGTCACAGATCTCAGCTCGTTCCCATCTTTGAGGACTGTCTTGCTTTGCCCATAGCTCACCTCTGGGGATTTTTAAGCTGAAGTGGTAAAAAGGTTAATAAATGACCCAATTATGCCAGCTTTTCTATCCCACAGTCCTCATGCTCTGAAATCTCTCCCTGGTCTTGATAGGAATTTGGCTTGCACAAGCAAATTTGCAGCTCAGAAAGGTGAATAAATGTAGCACTTTTAAAACCTCAACACTGTTAGAAAAAAGTCCAGCCTACAAAATCATCTTCAATGCCTTGAGAAGGGCAAAGAACACAAATCTTGGCCTCTATCTTGCTGTTTATTTGGAATAATCTTTTAGTAATTCTGATCCAATGGGAATGAGGGATTTGTTTCAGAGAGCTGGCCAGTACAACCCAACATCTGACTGAAAGAACTGATTGGAACAGGTTTGAAAAGGAACAACCATCTGTATCTTGTGTACCACTTCAAACCTCTAAACCTACTGGGCAAACAGCATAGTGTAGACTCACTCTTATACATATTTAAACTTTGCTGAGGTATTTCTTTCATTACAGAAAAGCAATTTTAAGAACAATAGGAAAAAACCTCAAAATATGAGTTATATTCTGCAGAGATATTTGGGGAGAAGGAATTCCATTGTGTTGAAAGGTCCATAATCATTAAAGGAATAACCACTTTTAGTGTCAATAATATAGTCTTCCTTGGCTTTTTATTCCTTCAAAACATTACAAAAAACGTAAGGCTGTAACTTTATAAAACATAATTTTGCCTCAACTTCGCCCACCGGTGTTGTAAAATAACCTGAAATACTTCTGCCTTTTTCCTAGGGCAAACCTTTCCCAGTGTCTACCTCTGTGATGGACCAGCTGTGGCCACACAGCTGTGGGACCCCGCTGGCCTCCTCCAGGACATGGGACAAGCCACACCTTGCACAAAAGCAAGATCCATGCATGATCAGGTTTCCTTCACATGGCAAAATGAAACATAGTTCTTCTAGTTGAGTTTTAACAATATCTGATAACTTCTACCTGCAACTAACATTATTTCTCTACAATGAAGATACCTAAACTGTCGTACAAGCTGGATTTCTCACCCATAAATACTTTGGGATGGAACCAGGGGGATGTGTACATCAGAGGAACGTGTACATCATATTTAGGGTTTTTCCTAGGCAGACACTGTGTTTGAAGTGTGTTTTTCTAACCCTTTTAGATCCAGTCAGCCTACCTCAATTGTGACACTAACGTTAAATGTAACTGCAGCCATTACCAAGTAGTTTCCATAAGTGGTTTTATTACTGGTTAGATTTTACAAATTCTGGTATTCGAACAGACTTCGACCTTAAAACTCTAAAACAACAAAGCAACCAATGAAAGGCTTAGGACTATTCAAAGTAACAAACTTTAACATTTTTGCCCTGGTCATAAATATACAGAGAGAAAAAGAGAGAAGTGGACATGGAATCCAAAGAATGTAGATAAAACAGTATATAAGGCACATGGCAGTCTTTGAAAATACAGAAGCTTTAGCCAACTTAAATTAATTGCTGTTTCCCTTGCTCAGTCCACAAAACTGTACAGTTACACAAATGTTGTGTTGCAATAGATCTTCCAAGTTATTCTTCAGTCCATACTCCATAATACCAGAACACTACATTTCCTTCTGTTTTTTAGGAGAGATCCTAATTGTGGTTAGTCAGTTGCTCAAAGCCTCTATTAAAATACACTTGGAATTTCAGCTAAGAATAATTTCTTTTTTAAAGAAATTATTAAGAAAGAGTCATCAGAAAAGATTTGTAAGAGTTGTCTGTGAAGGACTTCGAGATTCATGAACCTCAAGACTTCCGGGCACTGATGTCAGGACGGACGTCACAGTTGGCATAGTGGGATTAGTCAAGTCTGTTAAAGTAGTGGGAGTGCTGGACGGACTCATGGAGGCATTGGATATTTCTGAGGCAGGACCTGATGGGGTCCCTGCTTGGAGTGTTGAGTCTGAAGTCTTATCCACCCCTGTGTTTTCTTGACGTAAGAGGTTCCGTCTGAATTTGGCTCGAGCATTTTGAAACCAAACCTGAAACAGTTTAATATAACAGGGTAGCGTTTAAAGACCTGCAGTGTTTAAAAACACAAAAGTATATTCACAAATTCATCAATGCTGGAATTGGAAAGACATTTTTACTGGTAACAGATCAGAAAAGTAGTTCTAGCCATGAGAAAGGGCCTCTGCCTGCAGAATATTCCTTCGATCCCTGCAAAGTCTGCCTGGGTCAGAGTGGGCTAAGGACAGAGGCTGGCAGGCTGAGTGCACAGGTGTGAGGAAGGATGCTCAGAAATCTGGCAGCGTGCAGAATCCTTGAGAGCCCTCGGTCCCAGCAGCATTGGTCTGGGTGAGGCAAACACCACGCACCTGATGAACACAAAATCAGGAGTTTCCCCCCTTGTGTCTCACGTCCATCTCCCAGCAAAGCGCTGCCGGCACAGCCCAGGGCACCCTGCCTTCCCACGGGCTCCTGCTGCCCCGGAGCTCCCTCAATCCCTGCAGCACTCCCCTCTTTGGAAAGGGCTGTCCTTTCTTGCTCTTCTCTTACTCTTTCTCAAATGCTCCAGCTTCCTTCGCCTATGCTTGTTTCCTCTATCAGATGTTTTCAGCACTGTTATAACGTTGGGAAAAGGGGCTGGAAAGGTATTAAAGACCTACATTACACCAAAAACTGTGATTTCAGTAGGAATGGCAGCCGCACAGAATTTTTTCCCCCAAGGTTTCTACTTCTTGCATTCTCTGCTTATCCGAGTGAAGGCCAGGGAAAGTGAGTGTGTGGGACTGCTGAGGACGCAGCAGAGATTCTGCTCCTGGCCCTGGGGCTGCCTGGCCCTGCGGCGGGCCAGGCTCCGAGCCGAGCGCCGGGAGGGAGGGAGCGAGCCCCGCGGGAAGGCGGGCGGCGCTGGCGGCGCTCCCGCGGCAGCCCCGCTGACGGACCCGCCCGGCCGCTTCACCTCCCTCCGCCTTTCTTCACGCCTAGAGATGCTCCAGCTCCCAGTTCCCCCTGTCGAGCGCTCTTCCTTCCTTGGAAAGCTTCCTCCCGCGGCCAAAGGTCTTAATGTGCATACCCTGTCTCTCACAGTCTCTCTAGGGAATGCCACAAGGAAATAATCCTCAGGCACAAATTCAATGGCCACGCATAAATCACATCCCTACAGGTCCTTCTTTCTGAAAGCTCAGTATTTTAGACCAGTTTATGTTGGAATTTGCTTTGTTAAAATACCTAAAGGCTGTTTATCAGTTTCATAAACAAAAGTTCTCTTAAACCAGCACAAGTAAAAATATTCCCATTATTTTATTACGGTCCAGTATAGCAGTGACCCTGCGACAGACCAGCAATGTGGCTGAAAAGGGGCAAAGCCCAAAGTGATGGTTCTGCCTGACACATTCCCAAGCAGACCTCTCATGGGACCGCTCAGAGCCCTGGCATGCAGGGGCTGTGGGTGAAGCCAATCACTTTGTTCTGGTCACTTAAACCACAAAGGCTCAAGCACCAACTGCTCAGGAATGGCAAAAACAGCAATTGAAACTTTCATAGGACTTTCTACCTTTCAGGTAGAGATCATTTCTATTTGTTCCACAAAGTAATTGAGTGGTTGGTTTCTTTCTTCTGGCAGCTGCATAAAGGATAACAGCTGTGAAATGGAGTTTGGAGCTGGCCGCTGTCGCTATGTGTGTCCATGTAGCCATGGCATAATTAAAATAGAAGAGACAAACCAGTTGGCCAGCTGTAGATACACCTACTTCTGCATAATTTCACATTTATGTTCATTTAAATACCCACATTTTTATATTCGGTAGTCCTAAATATGAGAAATATGACACTCTTCTAAATGTCCAACTGCTCCTTAACCTTACCAGGGCAAGAGGCTCTATGGTACTCTTTGGAAACTTGTAGTATGTAAAGTGAGAAAGATTCCTGGTGTTTATGGATTTCCACGCATCTTCCACTAATATAAAAACCTGAGCTCAGCTGCCCTTACTAATGACCACCCACACTGCTTTCAGAAGCTGCACATATAACATGGTTCATTGTCTCTTTATTAGTGGCAATTCATGTTAGACATTGAAAATATCATATAATACTGTAAGTATTATCTGAAAATAGAGACTGTATGACTGCTTTTACTTCTTTCCCCACTGGAATATTATCAAGGTTAATCAGTTAATGGTTACAAGGCTCTTTAAAATTGCATAATAATAAATATTTGTATTAATACTGAAAATACATCTAATTATTTGAATTCTGAAAACACTTTGCCTTATGATAGAAGGGATAACATTATTTCCACCATAGTGACATCCTGGCATGTCCTTTAAATCTGACAGCTTCAGCAAAGCCTTCGTGTTAGAGAGTGGTGAAAGAGGAGCAGGGTTGTTCCTGGGACTGTTTCCTACCCATGGGGCTGTTCCTGGGACTGTTTCCTGCCCGTGGGGCTGTTCCTGGGACTGTTTCCTACCCGTGGGGCTGTTCCTGGGACTGTTTCCTACCCGTGGGGCTGTTCCCAGGACTGTTCCCTGCCCGTGGGGCTGTTCCTGGGGCTGTTCCCTGCCCGTGGAGCTGTTCCCCTACCCATGGGGCTGTTCCCCTACCCGTGGGGCTGTTCCCAGGACTGTTCCCTGCCCGTGGGGCTGTTCCCTGCCCGTGGGGCTGTTCCCAGGACTGTTCCCTGCCCGTGGGGCTGTT